ATTTGCACATAGAACAAGAGATGGTTATTTGAACAAAACAAGGCGATATTGAATGGTTTAAAATCAGGAAATGTGTGTCTCATAATTTTATCTTTTCCCCATACTTACTAAACATGTACAATGAGCTAATAATCTGAGAAGTTGAACTATCTAAAGAAGAAAATGGTATTGGGATTGAAGGAAGGTTCATTAACAAACTGTGAGATGCAGATGACAGAATTTTACTTGCCAAAAGCAAAGAGAATTTAAACCACAGTGACAAAGATCAAAGACTACATAAAACCTCCTCTCTGGGGGATGGGCAGCAAAGGGGTGGGTGAAGGGAGACGTCGGGCAGTGTAAGATAAGACATAATAATAATTTATAAATTATTAAGGGCTGGGGGGGGAGGGGAAAAAAGGAAAATGAGCTGATTCCGGGAACCCAAGAGGAAAGCAAATTTTGGGAATGATGAGGGCAACAAATGTATAGGTGTGCTTTACACAATTGATCTATGTATTGTGATGAATTGTATGAGCTGAGCCCCAATAAAATGATTAACTAAAAAAAAATATATCCAAAAAGCAAAAAAAAAAAAAAAGACTACCTCCTTTGTTATGGATTACAACACAGTGCAAAGATAATAAAAAGTCTCACAACAAATTAAAAAAAAAGGTAGATGGCGAGGAAAGAGTGTAGCTGTCTGTGGTAGTTACATAACCTGGTGTCAATTTGAGGAGTAAAAGTGTAGAGGTAGAGTCTAGCCTGTCAATCAGATTGTAGCCAATGGGGCCTCTGTGTGGGCATGGCCTTCTTCTGAGGATTCTGGGAATTCCTGTATTTTCTCCTTGGAGGTGAGAGACACTCGATCACTAGACTCACTCCTGGTGAGACTCTCTGCTCATTCCCTGAGATACATCCCGATGGAGAAGACACATGGAGAGGGTCTGATGGAGTCAGAGCTCTGGAGCCAGAGAAGCCATGTGGAGACCCCTGCCAGTGCTGAGATCCTTATGCCACTGGAGACACAAGACTTCCCAACCACTGGCCTGTGATCTTCTTGCATTTGGTGTCGTTGCATGTGTTTCTTGAGTCTGAAGAAGACATTATACATTTGTAGCAGACATATGGGATGATATCAGACTTATGGACTTGATCTGGACTGGGATGTTTTCTCAATATTCAATTACTCTTGTATTTAAAGCAATTTCTTATAAACACATAAGTCACCCCAGATTTGTTTCTCTTGTATACATGGACTAACACATGGTCATCGATTTCATTTTACTTGGATCCAAAGTTAAGCAGCAACCAAGAAATCAAATGCATTATTGCATCTGGTACAAATGACCTTTTTAAAACGTTGAGGGAAAAAGTTGCATGTTGCCCAAGCCATGATATTTTCAATGGCTTCATATGCATGTAAAAAAAAAAATCCAAATTCATTGCCATCTAGCCAATGCTGACCAATACCCACCTGCTGAAGGTTCTCCTAGACTGTAACTTCTTTGTGTGTGTGTATAAGAAAGAGATTTATATAAAAGAGAAATTGTATATTGAGAAAACATCCTTTCCAGTCCATATCAACTCCATAAGTCCTATATTAGCCCATATGTCCAATACGAGTCCATAAATTCCTCTATAGACTCACGCACCACATGCAATGATGCAGAATGGAGGAAGATCACAGGCCAGTGGGTAGAAGGTCTTGTTGATCCAGTGGCGGTGGAAGCATCTCAATGCTGGCATGGGTCTCCATGTGTCTCCTGCAGCTTTCTGGCTTTGGCTAGAATCAGCATGGCTCCATGTGTCTTTTCAGCAGGATGACAAAGAAGAGTGTGAGTGTGTCTGCCACCAGGGAGGAAGGCAGGAGTTCCCAGAATCCTCAAGAAAATGCCATGTCCACACAGAAGTATAATTGGCTATGACCTGACTGACAGGCTAGACTCCAAACCTATGCTCAAGTTGACAGGGGATTGTGTTAACTTCCACTCCTTCCTCAGATGTTGCCATCCAATCACAGAGTTACAAAGACTATGACAGACATTCCATTTTCTTTTCTATACTCCACTAGACCTTTTTCAATGGTATGAATGTTCTGAATTTCAGTATGATGTTTTCTTTCCCTTGTTCTGTATGGTAAAGTGAAATGAATTGCTATGCTGTAACTTTTTACAGGATTAGCAAGCCCGGCTGCAGGCAGCTAAGTAAGCCATGAGTTTCCAGAGGTCATGGCAAGCAAGATTGTACTTTTGATTCTTTTATGAATATGCTAAGATGGTATAACAATCATTAAGTCAGGGACTTGGTTCTTGCGAAAGGGAGATACAGAGAAGTAATTCAACTCTGAATATGCATTGTAGGTAGGTAGAATTAATGTGATATGTTAAAGAATTGAATGAGAAATATCTGTAATTAAAAGGAAATTTGAGGCAGCATTCTGCCTTCAAATGTAGATTACAATCTTGGAAACTCTATGGGGAAAGTCTACTCTGTACTATGGAGCACTATGTATCATAATCAATTTGTCTGCAAATTTTCTTTTCTCTTTCTCTAGGTTTTAATAGGAACAAGTATAAGAATGGCTTCCCGTTGCCTATAATTAAGTTCTCAATATTGCTTTAATCATCTGCAAGATGGAGTTCCTGGGTAGCATAGATAGCATATCTATCCAGTGGAGTTTGAGTCTCCCCAAAACACCCCAGAAGAAAGGGTTGGAGATCTACTCCCCCCAAAAGAGCCATCAAAATGTAATGTAACATGAGGTTCTAATCTAAGACATCTGGGGTCAGGTTGAATCAGAATCAACAGGATGACCCTAATTCTTTTTGGTTTTGTTTAAGATCATTACTTTTGAAAGATAAACCAGGCCCATTAACATTGTTAGCTGTTCATTACTGAAGGCATTTTGGTTGCTCTGTAGGCTATGAGATGGATTACTAAGTGTAAAGTCAAACGTTTGAACCCACCAGGTAGTCAACTGTGAGGTTGATGAGGTTGCCTGCTCTTTAACGATTCACAGTCTCAGAAGCCTCAGATGGTCACTGTGACTCCAAATTGGTCCATGGTCATGCAGTTGTTTGGTGTTTTTGACTATTCACCAATTTCTTGGAAGGAAAATATGTTTGAAAAATGTTCAACTTTTATCAGGGCCCTATTCCAGTTTAATTTCTCTCTAAAATCATTTGAATTGTTGAATTCATTAATAGTTTTTAATATTTTAGACATAGATTCATGAACAAATATTTATGCTTACAAATTTTTAATATTTATATTTCAAAATTCAGAATATTTACTACATAAAACTTGGATAGGGTGTATGTAATAGAAAAATTAGCGGGGTGAAATATAGTCTAACTCATATTAGTTAAATCCAATATCATCAAATCATTTCTTACCCATAGTACCTGTGTAGGATTTCAAAACCAAAAAATGCAAAATAAATTGAGTCAATTCCAACTCATAGCTACCTGATAGGGGAAGGTGGAATGAGCCCTGTAGGTTTCCAAGGCTGTAACTCTTTAGGAGAATTAGAAGTCACATCTTTCTACTCAGGGGCAGCTGGAAATTTTGAACTGTTTAAGGTGAAGGGTCCAACACTTAACCACTACTCCACCAGGGCTTTACACATCTTTCTGAAAGCAGACAGCTTTATCTTCCTCCCATGGACAACTGGTGGATTAGAACCAACATTTGCAGTTAATTTTCCAAGGCTGACCAGAGAGTAGGTAATATTTCATTTTTAATATCATTATTTGCATATTTAAACTTTGATACTGTATGATAAAGATAATTTTAGACAAATTTTAAATACTTCTAGAGATTAGCATTGTCTTCTATTTCTAGAAGTTTATGGCCACATTTATCAGACAGATCAACAAGATACAAAAAGGAAAAAGAAGTGAAAGAAAGCTAAACATACTTTGTAGAAATACCATAAATATGAAAATAAATTATAAGAAAACACATGATACATATACTGAGTGATATGAGCAAAAAAATCTATTAAAATTTTATTTCTAATGTCTAATTAAAACATATTTCTGACAATACAAGCTTCACATACAATATTTTATATAATATTGGTATATGTCATTTAAAAAATAAAGTAGGGAAGTAGAGAATCTTAATGCTAATTTTAAATATTTGAATGAATCCACCAACAGTTCCAGATAGGAAAGAGTTAAAATTTTAATCCTCAGAGGTATACATTTATTTTAAATATTCAAAGACAAATTTTAGCATATAAGGTCAAATACAATATGAAAAAGAAAACCTTAACATTAAAAAATTAATCATTTTACTTAATATAAATAACATACTATGGAAATTAAAATAGTTTGTGCTATATTTCTTCCTCTTCTTCTTTTCCCAGATTTAAATTTTAATTTAATGGAATAGGTCTTATTTATTGTTCACAATTGAGAAAACTGAGAGTTTAAATGTTAGTGCCATTTATTAAGAGTCATGCCCACAAAAGAGTAGGAGAAGCAGACCTAGAATGTAACAATCCTCAGTACGTTTTATTCTAAAACAAGAAATCTTAATGACAGTGCAATACTTCTTCGGTGAATAGTATATAGGCTAATGAATGAAAAATGTTACTGTGCCTTAAATTGTAGTTATAATCCAAAATTAATTTATTTGTAAATGGATATGCATGATGATGGCTAGGATATAATTTAAAACTTACCACATATTATTTGTACTTTGCACATAACTAACTATTAAAAGCATACGTACAAAAACCAAAAACTGAAATCATATTCATAGTTACAAATAGAGTATGAATATATACAAAGAAATAAATAAAACATTGTTGGAAATGTTCACAGTTCCATATAGTTAGGAATAGTTTAAAAATGCCCACCATTCTAATTCTGTGTGTGACTGTGAATTAGTTATATATTTATACACTACAAAATAAATATTCCTAATAGATTTAGATAGTATTTGGAGAGAAATGGCAAATAAATAATCTGAAGGAAACAAGTAAATTCATGGGATTAAATACTTCACTTTCATTTTAAATGCCTGGTGCTCTTCGTCTTCTGCTTAACTCTAAGGACAGCCCTTTTCACGTCTTTGTTCCTCAGACTATAAATGAGTGGGTTCAGTATGGGGATCACAATCGTGTAAAACACAGAGACCACTTGGTCTTTTCCCAAGGAGTAGGAGCGCCTTGGCTTTAAATAAGTAAAAATAACAGTACCATAGAACACTCCCAGCAGGTGGGAGGCACAGGTCGAGAAGGCATTTTGCTTCCCTGATGTGGAATTGATTTTCAGGATAGTAGAAAGAATGCATGCATAGGAAACAAAGATTGTGATAAGGGAAGCCACAAAAGAAGAGCCTGCAAGAATGAAAATCAAGGTCTCAACATCACGTGTGTCTGGGCAGGACAGCGCTAAAATAGGGCTGGTGTCACAGAAAAAGTGATGCACTACATTGGAGTCACAGAAATGCAAGGTGTTCATGAAAAGCACATTAATAAGGGATGCACTACACCCAATCAAATAGGAGGCAATGATAAGGGAGCAGCAGAGTGATGTGGACATAATGACTGGGTATTGTAGAGATTTGCAGATAGCTACATAGCGATCGTAAGCCATTGAAGTGAGAAGAAGACATTCCGTGCCACCTAAGAAGACAAAAAAATACATTTGAGCAAAACAGCCTCCAAATGAAATATGTTTAGAGGGAGTAATTAGGTTTTCTAAGGTTTTAGAGGTAATGACTGATGAGTAGCTGAGATCAATGAATGACAGGTGACTGAGGAAGAAATACATGGGCGTGTGCAGCTGGAGGTCCAGGCGCATGATGAGGATCATACCTGCGTTCCCCAGCACAGTAACCAGGTAGATCAGGAGAAATAGATGAAAGAGAACCAGCCGGGCCTCTTCAGAGTCTGTCAGTCCCATGAGGATGAAGTCAGACACGATCGTGTTGTTCCTTCTACCCATTGTGTGTATTTTTTCTAATCTGGAGGACATAAAAGTTTATACTTTGTTTTAGTGACTTTAAACTGCTTTTTGTTTGTATAAGTGATCTGGTATATATTTTTAAATCTTGTGTTGTTATAATTCTGTAATTTTGAAAACAATACTTACCATGAGCCAAAACTAGCGAAAACAATCTTTATCCAGTATTATCTGTCTAGAGTATTATAAAGCTCATTGTTTTCTTCCAAATAAAATACATAAAATATTTGAGGTGATTACAATTTCTGTGTCGTAATATCATGCACCTTTCTGATGAATTATTTTCATATTTGTGTGCAGACATTTTCCCCCAACATAAAACAACTTTAAATTTTTCCTCTGTTTCTTGTTAGGTATGAAGTGCATAAGGAAATTATATGTCTGAAAAAGATATAGAAGCTACTACAAACATAAACAGAGCAGAAAATCCTTTGTTTCTGACTTAATAATTTCAGGGCATCTCTTATGCTGGAGAGAGCTGATAATGCAATATCGGTCATCCTAGAGGACTAATATGCAAGGGGATTGCTGGGCACATTTCCAGGGAGCAAAGTTCAAGGATTAATGAATTCATGTGAGGTTTGTAAGAGCGGTTGACTCCCTCAGGAGCAACATCATGAGGAGATGATGACTTTGTCTTTCTTTATGGTCCTCTACATATTTTTAGGATGCTGGAGATACTATTTCCAGAAAGCTTTTTAATTATTTTGTAGCTTAAAAGCTAGGAAGTAGCCAGGAGGAGCTGTAGACTAGGACGTTTTTACACAGAATTACTCATTCTGTTTTAAAGTATATTCTTAAAATAGGGATAAAATAAGTTTATTTAAAAATAAAAGCCCTGCAATTTTTGAAGAATATAAAATTAATTCAAACCAACATTTTTATTGACACATGATTCATATCTCATGCAATTCAATGGCTTATGTATTTTAAAAAGATTTGGTCCTTCATCACCAAAATCAATTTAGAACCAAAATCAATTTAGAATCATTTCTTCATGCATATACTCATTATTATGACCTAACCATGTCCCCTAACCTCCCTTGCAATAACTCTAAGAAATTATTAATCCAATTACTGTCTCTATAGATCTAATCACTGTTTATTTTTCCATGACTTTCCTTTCAGTTATTTTTCTTTTTTTGTAAAATGCCTAGTTTTATATATACTTGTGTATGGCATCAATACTATACCATATACTCAGTGTCTCATCCCATTTTATTACTAAGGACAAAATATACCTTGTTTATTGATATATTACCCTTCTATAAAATACATGTGTGGTAGTTACATAATTGTATATCAACTCAAGGTTTTTTCAATGTGTGAGAGTAGAATCAAATGGTCAAACAGGTCACACAGCATGATGCTGCCCCCTTGGAGGTGTGGCTCTCTATAAGGAAGGTCTGGGTCCCTCCCCATTCCTTACCCCACTTCCTGCTTCCTGGCCACCCTGAGAGTTGCCAGATCCCTGCCATATTTCTACAGACCTTGGTTCCACATTAGTCTGCACCCACTGACTTGTGATCTTCCTGTATTTCTGCACCACTGCACATGACAAGAGACTTAAGGACTGATGTCAGACTCAATCAACTTGACGGCAGTGAGCAACAGAGTGGTGCCCTGTAGCTGTCCTCCTACCAAGACTATTCACCAGCATATGTGTGCACACTGAGGAATAACAAGGAATGCCTGGTGTGGGTGCTCCATTCAGGTTTCACCTCTCTTTCACTGCCATCGAGTCCATGTTGACTCATAACAACCCTATAGGACAGGGTAGGACTGCCCCAGTTGGTTTCCATGACCGTAACTCTTTATGGGAAGAGAAAGCCATATCTTCCTCCCACAATGCTGACATTTTCACCTTATTCATCTACACAGAAATTTATGCAAATCATTTCACAATTTCACAATTTCACTGGGTAATTGGAAATGTACAAGGGGGTACTGAAAAGCAAAACAAACCAGATTGCACTGGACAGAGCAGAGCTTTTGTAGTATGCATTTTTTCCCACTAGGTGAGCATCTAGAAATTTGCTCTGAATTAGTGAACCCAGTGGTGTCAATTGGGAAGGATCTTTTTGGTCACAAAGAGTTTTTTCGTAAAAGCCATTTCCCTTGAACCTTGGGTGGGGATGGAGGGGGAGGGTTGTTTTTGTTTTTGTTTTTTGATGGCCGATTTAAGAGAACAGTGTTTCGCTGTGAATTTTTGTTTCCTGATCAGGAAAAATGCTGCAGAAACTGTTTTGTTGTTGAACACATCTTGAAAGGCAAGCACTATGGGAATACACTATATAAGATTAGTTTTCTTGCTACAAAAAGGTGAAAGTTGATTGATAACAAACCTTGTTCTGGATGTCTGTCAACTTCTCAAATGGATGAAAATGTCAACTGTGTCGTGCATTTGTAGTTCTTTCCACCAGGTCAGACTGTTAATCAAGCTTTCTATTTAGAGATTCTGAATAGATTGCATAACAATGTGCTACAAAAAGGCCTGATTTGTGACTAACAAGGGAGTGGTTTTGCCACAACGACACCACCTCAGTGTGCCAGTTTTGGCTAAAATCAGCATGCCTTGCTTGCTCAACCCACCTTACTCATCTGACCTCACTAAGACTTCTTTTTGTTTCTGTGAATGAAGAGACATGCAAGGGCAGTGATTTGATGATGTAGAAGAGGTGAACAAAAGAATGAGGGAGGTACTATCAGTCATCAAACAGAGGAATTTGAAAAATGTTTACAAAAATGGAATCACAGGTTTGAGAAATGTATTAAATGTAATAGAGAGTACTTTGAATATGACAAGGTTGTTCTGTATGGTAGTTACCTAATTTCATGTCAAATTGATAAATAGAATGTAGGGGTAGAGTCTAGTCTGTCAATCAGATCTCATGGTAGCAACCCCCAGGAGGATTCTGGAACTTCCTCTCTTCCTCCATGGAGGTGGGAGGCACTCTCTCTCTCCTTGACATTACTGTTGACAAGCCACAGAGAGCGGTGCTGATGGCAGCCTAAGCCCTGGAGCAGGAAGAGCCACATGGACGTCTATGCCAGTGCTAAGATGCTTCCACTGCCTCTGGATCCTGCATTCAGAATCATTACATGTGCTGGGTGAGTCTAAAGAGGAATTTATGGGCTAATATTGCAATTCTGGCTTAATACCAAATATATTGACTTGATATGGACTGGACTGGATGTTTATTGATGCATAATTACTCTCATAAAATTCTCTCATATTTATATGCATTCCAATGAATTTGTTTCTATAGTTAGCCAAGTCTAACATGTTTTGTAAAAGAATTTAAATACATAGCTTTGAAAAAATAGTTTCCTTTTTTTTAGGATACCCCCTCGTGTGTGTATATATATAAAGAAATAAGGGAAATTGACACCAAGGCAAGTAAATATTTTATAATGTTATATTCTAAATGATTACTTATAAAAAGTATAATTTCTCAGCATGTGATCCAGGTCAAAGATTTTATTAATTATCAAGGAAAAAATATGAAAAAGCTGAACTATTTTTATTAGGACTATTTGTCTAAGACAAGGAAGAAAAAAAGAATCCAAAAATACATATTAATTTGGAATCAGAATAAAATATTTTTCTTAATAATACTGTTGGTATTTATAGCATAATTATGTTTCTATATTTACTTTATATTAATATATAGTTATATTCATGAATTATATCTGAAACATTTTTAAAGATTACAAATTCAGGAACAAAATACCTTTATTTCCTCTCCAATGTGTAGGTCTTTTATTATTGTTGCACATACTTTCATGTGTGTAGGTTTCTTGATCTGTCAAACTGAAGAATAGACTCGAGAACACAAACAGCAAGAGGGAAGTAAAGTTGTTTAGGAAGAAAACACCCATCATAGGGGAGGGAGTCACAAGTGAGTTGCCTCTAGAGAGCTCTCTAGAGGTTTTTACAGGATGTGGAGTATGTAACCTGTCTGTGTTTCTAGGTTATGAATTGACCAATCCCAGGACTGGTCACATTCCTGAAGCTCAATCATAAACTTACTTCAACTCTGTCCATGCAGGGATCTTGCAAGAGTATGGACAAAGAAATAAGTAGGCAATAGGTCAGCAAAGAGAATTATGGAGTTGCTGACTTTGGAGTTTTTTAATTAGCCTAGGGGACTGGTATCTGTGGTTGAAGATTTAAAATTATCTAGCCTGTAGATACCACCTCAGCATACATTCCAACACTCCCAATCTTTCCCTCTCGCTGCCCATAAGCTTTGTATCTCCTAGCTCTGCTTTGTATCTCCTAGATCTCATTACTAATATCTTTAATAGCCTTTTTGTCTGGCTAGAATAATTGACTGGGAAATATAGCAAATACATCAAGTAGAGTACTAAGGTGTGCCTGAAACAAACCATTGCAGTTTCAAACACATGTGAGATCTAAACAATACATAAGGAAAGCTACCTTAGGAGAGGTGATTTTGAGTAATGGTGTTGGTGAAGACTATTGACTATATCATAGACTTGTGGAAACAAACAAATAAAGTTTGGAAAAATGATAACTAGAATATTTGTTAAAAGTTAAGGTAGCAAAACTTTATCTCATATAATTTGCCCATATATTATGATAGACCAGTTCCTAGGGAAGGAAATCAATTTGGCAACATAGCAAAATAAAGGAGGATTCTTACAGAGATGGATTAGCATAGTGGCTACAACAATGGGCTCAAACACTGTAAGGATTTTGAGTGTGACAAAGAGCCTAGCTGCTTGAATTTTTGTACAGAATCTGACCATAAGTAAGAATAAATTTGATGGCATGAAACAAAAACAACAATATGAAGGAAAACTAATCTGAGAATAATGTGCAAGCTTGACCTTTAACTCCAAATGAAATGGACACTGCTTTAGGAGTCACATGGATTCTTTTGGAGAAAAACTTCCACTTGGAGTGCATAGTCCTCCTGGAAAATAAAGTTTTATTTGGATCTAGTTGTCACCTGTCAGCTTTGAAT